TTTCATCTAAAGATATTTGTAGTACTACAATGACAACCGAAAGAAACGTTCAATAATCAATCATATTTAGAAAACAGTAACATGAGTTAATATTCAGAAAACAACTTCTCTGAATTTATGATGATTGTCTATATTGATGATTCTTGTAAAGAAAGTGCAAAGTGACCCTATCACATGTACATCATCTCTTTCTTTCTATTATCGTTTTGACATCATCGTATACATGTATAACATCAGTCAGGGCTCCATATGTGATGGGACAATTCTATCCCATGAGATGCAGCAAATATCCGATGGAACAAGCGTCTTTTATAATAATCTTTTTTATTAAGAGCAATCCAATCGTTTAGAAATACATATCTTTCTTGCCGAAATAGTTTAGAATCAATTCTATGCAAATATTCTCCGCGTATTTTTATTGATTTTAAATGATGTTTTTAATGTCATTCTTCATTTCAATAATTCTTAACATGATAAACGATGAGATCTGTCTGTAGACAAAATTTCAGATCTAAATATTATCATTCGAGGCTTTCATATAAATACCATGTCACAGGTAAGAAACGCAGTACAATACTAATCATTCAGAGAAGATCAACGCATGGGAAGAAACCCTTCTAGACTCTCATCAGACTACCGATGGAGAAAACATCAACTCGATCGGTGGTCAATGTCAGGAGACAGTCCCTCATAAGACTTAAATGAATTCAATCTTATCTCATAGTATCTATATATAGTCTTTATATTTTAAGAAGATCTCTAATAATATATTAGTCTTTTACATTAAATGTACTTGCAATCTTTGCTTCCTTATTTATATTGCTGATAATGAAATAGATTTAGATTATTTAATCTATTACGCTCACACTTAATGTCCAACGAAAAAACAAAAAAATTTGTAAAAATTTTTATTTTTCAGAACTAAAACTTCCATTTGACTTTTGTATACAAAAGAGAAATGTCGGAATTAGAATTATTTCATTATCGTATGTTAACGTTATATTAGAAATGCTTTCAATGCTAAGGCGCCTGAATAAAATAAATGATTAGTAATTCAAGAAGATAAAAACTTTTCAATAATTAACATACAACAAAAATCCTGATGAAATATACACACTATATAGATTGAGTTCATTTTTTTTTTGAGTCGTTCTTGTATTGGATTTACTATGAGACTATAATTGAACAACAACCGCATTATAGTCGTTGTCAAAGTTATTCATACGGTCGCTAAAATCATTTTTTTTTCTGTCTCTGACAGATCTGAAAAACCAATTACAAAGCGATCAAGTTGCTAGATTTTTGATTGATGAAAAAGTTTTGTCTTGCAATATTGTATACTTCGTCTTTTATTCAATAGTCTTCCATTGTACTCGATGAAAATGTTATATGCAAAAAATTTAATGGCATAATATTACTCAACATCACTCTACTCAAATAGAACAGAGAAAATGCAAGAACAGCTTACTCAACAAAATCTCAATTAGAATACGCTAGATTGCTTTTTTTTTCATATATCTATATTAAACTCAATCCAGTTAGCCTTTTCTTATAGTATAATATCGAACAAATTAATTTTTTCATGAAGACCTATGTTTTAACGTTACAAAACAATAATAATGGTTCTTATCCGAACACAAAAGATTTCTAACAAATGGATTTTAATTCATATGTTAATTTAAACAGGTTCTGATTTTACTTCAAAAGACTTGACAAGTGTCTATGAATCCTATATTTCGAATTTAAATGCAGCATCCACTATGCAATATTTATAAACAATATATATACAATTTATTCAGTCTCTTATTTATGAGAAAAAGTAAATGCATTGTTAATACCTAGAAAAGATGTATTGAGAAAGAAAAAACACGTTTATGCATATATATGCTTAGCTCATTTTGATTGAAGATCGATGTGTATTGCCATTCATCTTTTGTGTAACCAATTGTGTATTTTTACAACAATGAAAAATTGACTTGGGAAAAGAAATCTTTATTATCTTGTTTTCCTTACTCTGTTATATTTTCTTCTGTTAATTTTGTTATTGTCATGCATAGATTTGTTGATAATAGAAAAAAGAAATTATATGTCTTATAGGAATTTTCTTATAAGATTGCAGTTATAATAAATAATCATATTTTGATTTGAAATATTTTCGAAATATTCGTCCACAAAATAAAATACATGGACAAATGATAATAACGAAAAGAATAATGATAAGAATAGCAATAGTATATTTATCACTTTTTAAAGAATAATTTTCATTAGAAATTGTTTTATTCATTATTTAATAAATCAATAAAAAAAAAATCTTTACGAAGAAAACAAAAGCGCAAAATAAATTTATTCTGAGGAGAACTTTTGATTTAAGTATTATATTTACACGAAATATTGGATGACAATATTCATATTGTTTTAGTTTCATTTTTGTACACACAACAAACGATACCATTGAATAGATAATGTATACAACATGTAGTTTTTTGAAACTTCTAAATTTTCTATGTAATCTAGTCTAATTGAATTCTCTATATGTACAAGGTTTGAGATCAATTATCGAAAATACGAATTTTCTGAAAACCTGGAGTGCAGAAAAAAAAGACATTAAAAATTCGATAGCTCAGTCAAATCTCCATAGAAATCAAATTTTTTTCACGGTTTTTATTAGAACATTATGAAGTACCTATAGGTAAACAATCATTGAAATCGGAAGAGGACATTCGAAGATGTTCTCTCGTAAGTTTACATTTTTTAAGAAATATTTTTAACAAAGTAAGCAAACCTAAAATGTAACTCTTTTATTTTTGTGAACAATGCTTCTTCATCATAATGCTTTGCTTTTCATTAAAACAGATCGAAAACTCTTCTTTCAAAGGTCGAAATTCAATGAAAACAAATATTGGTGTGTTTTTTTAAGTACACTTTTTTTTTGCTACAAGTTGCCAATTTCTTTTCTGAAATCATACTGACTTTCTACAATGTCAGATCAGATTTGGAAATAAGAAGCGTAAAAACATTCTTCTTCTCGCTGACCTTCCTATTCTTAACTTTTCGGTGAGAATCTTATGAAAATTGTTGAGTCTATCATAGGTTCAAAATGTTCTGCCGCTTAAGCTTGTAATAAATAAACCAGTAATGAGAGTGTGCAAAGCTAAGCTAGATTATTTTTATTTTTCAAAATAGATTAAGACTCTTGTTTTTAGACCTACAAGCACTGCAAACATAAATAACTACGTTGATATGAATTCATCCAACTATAATTAATTTCATAGCTAACTGAATGAAATCTAGATTAGAATCCATTAAATTGTGTATTGTACACAATTCAGAATTAAGTTTTAGAGATTTTGTAAACTATAATAATAGCAGCGGAACAACATAAATATAGAATTTCGTTTTATCATCAATTTGATACTTTTGTTTATGAAATGAATATTTCATCGTTTGACATAAAGTTTTAGTTAGAGAACGATGAGATTATTGAAGTTTCTTAAATTTTACAAAGAATTTTTTCTACTATAAAGTTCTTTTTGAAATTCAAATGATCATATGCCGATCTGCTATCTAAACAAGATCTATAAGAAACATTCTTCCAATGGTCAGGGATGTGGCGACCACGGGGTGCAGGGGGGTGCGCACCCCCCCACTTTTAGAAAATTATCGCTTTTCCCCAGCAAAAATCTGTGTTTTTACTGAAAAAAAAAGATCATAAGATGGAAAAATAGGGTTCTGCACCCCACCACTTTTTAAAATTTTGTAAATGCATCCTCTCACGTTCAAAAATTTTCTGAATACACCCTTAACTTTTGAAAAAAATTTTCTTGCACCCCTCCACTTTTTTCTCTTCGCCACATCCCTGCCAATGGTTTTTCATTGATAATCATCAAAGGTTTTATCTATACAATAATATCGAAACGACATATACGACTAATGGAAATTGTTTCTACCATTATACAGTATGACATAGTTACATGTCATCAAACTACAACAACTTCGTAGATATTATATCTACTACTTGGAAATAATCACATGAGACGGGATGGTAAATATTATACGCCCAAACTTCCTAGTTAGATAACTTGCTCATTATGAAAAGTTTCGATTCGATTTAAGTCAACGTATTTCGATAAATGATCCACGTACTTTTGATAAAAAAGAAAAAACTTTTAAAGATCTTATTAGATTTTTTCTACTAACCTAATTGTTTTAATTTATTCAACCTATTCAATATAATACTGAAAGCTTTTATTTTTATGATTATCGTAATCTTGTATTGAAAAATAGAAGCTCTATAAAATTATGTAAATATCTTAAAACATTCAAACATAAAGATCATACTTGTTTAGTATATATAGTTTCAAACTAATTAGAATCTTTTTCTTTAGAAATATTCAAACAAGATGAAGTGAACTGATCGCTTACCATGTTAAAATCTCGATATTCTGTTCTACTCTAATATTGACATACGTAAAATAAACATTGAATTGGTTATGACATATTCAATATACCAAAAACAAAATATTTTTTTTTAATTTTCACACTAATGCATATAATCATACAAATGTGTGTTGTGCAAAATAATTTTTTTTCTGCTTGCCTATAAGGACGAACACAAAACTCAAAGCAAAATATTTAAAATAAATATTAGAGATTTTCTTTTTCTTACTTTTGCGTTAACAAATTGTTAATCTTCTTCATATAACAATGTTTGTGTGTTCATTGCGGCCTGGCGGGTAATCATGGTCGCCTAGAGAGAAAGAAAAAAAGAAGAAAAAAAAAAAGAAAAGAAAAGAACGATATGTCATCGTGTGCATAAAAAAAACTCCAAGATTGGCATGCCTAGCAAAATATTATAGACGAATATTTTGCAATAAAAAGTAACAAGGAGATAGAAAGAAAGAAAAGAAAGCAACATCAACGAGAACAAAGAAGTAGACGCGAGTAAAAAAAAGTGTTCTTGACTCCATGCCCGTTATTTTCTTATTTAGATAAAAACAACAATGGCGACAACAATCATCTTGTTTCTTATATTATTTTCCCAAACAATCATTAGTTTTGCTGATGATTCAGCAATAAATTTATTAGTTCGTCCATCTAACGATTCAACTATACGTCGATATTGTGTTGAACTTGCTAAATTACCAAATGAACGTACAGTTAATATAACAGGCTTTGGTTGGCATATTCCATATATTGCATCCCCATCAGTTAATGCTTGTAATGCAACTAATCTTGAATATTCTTTACCACGTGCATTTCCATTAAAAACAATTCTTATTCTTTATGAACATCAATGTAAAATGACTGAACATGCATGGAATGTTGAAAAAAAATTTGGACAAAATATATCTTTAATGATTTTAACAAATCGTACAAATACACATTATGAATTAACATATAATACAACAGCAATGCCTGTATCAATACCTGTACTTATTTTTGTACAGAATGATTTTAATAACATAAATAAAACATATAAGAATATAAGTAACATTGAAATATCAATTAAGAATTCTCCTGATATGCAACAAAAATTTCGTCCAGCTATATTATTAATGTTTTTACTTGTTTTATTTATATTACTATGTGGAAATTTTTGGGCAGCTGATGAATTTATGCGTAAAATTCGAAACCAAAATATGGATACACACAGTGAATCATCAAATGTAAATGTTACACCAATATCAAATGATTTTCAAGATTTAACATCGAATAACACTTCTCAGGACGTAGCAATACAAAAAGAAAACAAAGATACTCTTATTGAACATAACGCACCACGAAATACTGAACCAGCTATCATTTATATGCCTTATTGTATTATTGCACTTATTTTATGTTTTGCTGTTGGATGGCTTTTACTTATTTATTATTTTCCTAAAGTAATGATTTATATACTCCAAGGTAATTATTATAGAATGAACGATAAGGTCTTTTCTTGTTGAATTTAATTCTCTATATTTTTTTGTGAATATGAAAAGGTGATAGTGGTGGTAGAAGACATATAATCTATGATACCATATAAAATAGCTAGCGTATATTCGATTTGTTCTGCAAAGTATAAATAAAACGATTCTATTTTATTTGTTGATACTTTTTGGCATACAGTTCATGTACTGAATAATCAATTAGTCAAATAAATTCTTTGTCGAGTACATTTCCTATTTGATCATAAGACTAAAATTACATTCCAAAGTAAATTTTCTCTTTTTATTAAACTTAATAATTTCCATCATAATTTTGAGTTCTCACTAATAGCGTGACATATTACAAATTTAATAGCATTAACTCATTGAATCATCATTATTAGTTTGTTGATGATAAAAAATATGAATATCAAATAGATTGTGAATATTATTCTATTATAAATTTAATAAATCGAATAAATCTAATAAATTTCTAAAAAGTAAAATGCAATAAATATTTCATCTAATTACAAAAAAAAAATGTCAATTTTATCTACATAGAAATCGATAATAAATTTTGAATTCTTTTTTTTTATTTTTAGTTCTCTTTTGTATTGGTGCTTTTTCTTCATTAACGTCGTGTCTTGATCGTGTGAGTTATTTTGCACCAATTCTTCGTCATTATCGTATTCCGTGTCGTACTTTTCATAAACCATGTAAATGTAAACTAGGTCCATTAAATGTTTTTACTCTATGTGCAATGATTGTATCATTATTACTTATTATTATTTGGTATATATATCGTCAAGCTGATTGGGCATGGGTTTTACAAGATATTCTTGGTGCAGCTGTTTGTATAACAGTTATATCTGTTTACAGACTTGGAAATATGCGTGTAATCACATTAATTTTACTTGGTTTTTTCTTTTATGATATATTTTTTGTATTTATTACACCATATATTCCATTTTTTCAACCATCAAATCCAAAAACTACAACGACAACAACAAGCACAACAACAATAATAACAACTACAACGACAATACTAACAACTACAGCAACATCAATATTATCAAATGGTTCATTAAATATTCATACAATGGGAATATATCGAAAAGTAGCAAGAAATCCATCTGTTATGGAACAAGTTGCTTTAGGTATTGGAACAGATGGAGAAGTTGTTCCACTTTTATTTGCTTTACCTATGTTTATACCCGAATCAGAAATTGATCCATGTGTAACAATAAGAAAATCAATGCTCGGTTTTGGTGATGTGATTTTACCAGTAATTTTCTTTTTTGTATTTAATATATATATATAATTTTGTGTTTTGTTATTTAGGGTATTTTATTAACATTTTGTAAAATATTTGATATTGCCATTGGTAATCGTTGGCCAACTTATTATATACAATCAATAATATCTTATTTTGTTGGTTTATCTATAACACATGTTGCACTTTATGTAATGAAAACAGCTCAACCAGCACTTCTTTATTTAGTACCATGTATACTCTTATCAACAATATTAACTGGCCTGTGCCGTGGCGAATTAAAAGAACTTTATACGGGAAAACGAATTCAATTATTGCTTGAAAATAAAACAAAGAACACAAATAGTTCATTATTACATAGCTCGGATAACTCAATAGAAGAACAAACAAATCAATCAAATGATGTTGTTATTGGAATAACTGATGCTATTGGCACTGTTGCTGGTGTTGACAATCGATAGTTTGCATTTTGTACAATATCATTTTAATAAATAAATGATTTTTTGACGATGAATATAAAGGGTGTTCGGGAAGTTCTGAAACGATTTTAAAATTCACCGTTCTCGCATTCTATAAAAGCAAATTCATTGAAACTTTAGTAGATTGTTGTACATATATAGTACTACATATCTACAAAGTTTGAGGTCTATAGATTGAACTATGGATGAGAAACTGTAACAACACTGACATGTACTATTTTTTAAATTTTCCTGGTCATCTTCGGGGTGTGCAACATTTTTTTATTTCGTCTATATCTTGGCTTAGGTAAATGATAAAATCTTGAATTTTTCTTTAAAAGATGCGCCGTGAAAAGCTCTACAAAAACTGCAATAACAAATCCCTATTGACTTGTGTTAACGGTTTCTGCCACACTCAAAATGAAAAACCTACATGGGAGTACTACTTCTCACCATATTGTGCGTAATAAAAATAGATTTGGAAGACTTTTTTGCTTTTCAATAGGAATTTATTTATACAGCTCTTGCAGAGCTTTCGATGGTGCATCTTTTGAAAAAGAAATCAAGATTTTATCATTTTCTCAAGCTGAGATACATGCAAAACAAAAAGGTCTTCCAAACATTTTTTATTACGCACAATATGATGAGAAGTAATACTATCATGTAGGTTTTTCATTTTGTGTATGGCAGAAACCATTAACACAAGTCAATAGGGATTTTTTATTAGAATTTTTGTAGAGCTTTTCACAGCGCATCTTTTAAAAAAAATTCAAGATTTTATCATCTACCTAAACCGAAATATGAATATTTTGGTAGACCCGGAATACAGGAAAATTTTAAAAATAGTACATCATAGTGTTGTTACAGGTTCTCCCCAGTGAAAAATGACAAAATTATGTGAGATTATAGCCGGATTTTTATGAAACAAAATCTAAATTTTAATCGATTGAAATCTTCTAAATCAACTATAATCTGATCTTTAACCTAAAATAATCTCTTAAATCAAGTAAAATTTTGATTAAAATCTTATATTTTCGATTAAAAATCATAATCAATCCAAAATAGATGATTTTTATCAAAGTTTTACTTGATTTACGAGATTATTTTTGATTCAAAAACCAGATTATAGCTGATTTAGAAGATTTGAGTCGATTAAAATTTGGATTTTGTTTCACAAAAATCCGGTTATAATCTCACATAATCGGAAATAATCTGATATTTTTTCACTGGGTCCTCTATAGTATAACCTATAGACCTCAAACTTTGTAGTTATGTGACACTACATATGTGCAATAATATGCCAAAGTTTGAAAGAGTTTGCATTTGTTGAATGCGAGAACGATGAATTTTAAAATCGCTTCAGAACTTCTGGAACACCATTTATAATATGAACAGAATATTGACATTATTTTATCCAGATTTTCTTGTCCGAAGCGACAATTCAATATTCCGGGAGAATGAACATTTATTTTTTGGGAACATATTCACATAGTATGTGATAAAATGACGATAAATTACGAGAGAGCTTACCTGATTTTCGAAGGAGTGCCATACTTCACACTGGATTCTATCATAGACAGTTCAAACAGTTGATTTATTGTTTGTACATCAATATAAAAAAAAAAGGTAAATCTCGCACCAAATTTTCACATTTATATTATCATCTGTAAGTGATGGATCACTTGGGCATCAAAGATATAAAAGAAACATATATAAGTAATAAGAAAATTAATTAAATATTACCGTAGCAATTTGTCTTTATTTGTATTACTGTCATAATAAGACATTATCACTGACGCAGGAGTATTTTCAGATAATCTCTCGCTAGTGAGCTTATTTTTTTACTAATGAGTAGAGCATCACTAGATAAGAATTAGTGTCTTATCCAGTTTCGCTTCCCGAAGGGTCAAGTTAAGTTTCAGAGAAACGTCGCCCTCTTGTTGGATAAAACATCGCTTAGAATAATCCACAATGGATACTTCTTCTTATTGTGACTTGATCGAGACATTCTATTTTTAACTGAAATCATCTGTAGAACTTCAGTTTTCCAGCAAAAACCAGACTTTTGAATATTGATCTGAAACTTTGCCGAAATAAAGATCTCGATTAGATCAAAGTATAAAAATCGATCTCATATATATACGGATTTTTCAAACTCGTCACACTTTTTACAACATTTATGAAAAAGCACTTATATTTTGAGAAGCTCATATCTCTGAGATACGATGTTTGAAAACTAGTCTTAACGAGGCCTTTATTTAAGCTGACCTTAAATGTCTAATGTTGTTGGAAAACTGAATTTTTGCACAGAAAATCTACTGTAAATTCAATATCTCCGTCAAGTCTCAATAAGAGTACATATCCTTTGGAGATTATTCTAACCTAGTAGTTATCTCCTCATTGCTAAATAGTATAATGCTCAAAATTGATGGATCATCTGTAGCTGTTCCTTCATTAGTCATTATAAGGTCGGCGTAATGCAAAACTCGAGTAAAATTTTTTTCTCGAACTTTTTACACATGGTTAGATAGAGCTCATCGAGCTCTACAAAACCGTATATTTCGAAAAAATTTTAAGTCTCTTGCTAGAAGAAAATTTGAAAAAGAATATTTAAAAAATTGAAAAAAATCGTTTTTTTTAATAGAAAAAAATACTACCTTTTAAGATAAATTCAGTTTTTTCTCGCGATTTTCATTATGAAAATGTTTTGAAAATATGTTCATTTGATGCAGCGTGAAAAGCTGCATCCAATGATATAAGCTAGTTTATATTATTGGATGCAGATTTTCACACTGCATCGAATGAACATATTTTCAAAATATTTTCATAACGAAAATCGCAAGAAAAAACTGAACTTATTTTTAAAAGTAGTATTTTTTTTCTATTAAAAAAACGATTTTTTTTCAATTTTTTAAATATTCTTTTTCAAATTTTTTTCAAGCAAGAGACTCAAAATTTTTTTGAAATATACGGTTTTGTAGAGCTCGACGAGCTCTATCTAGCCATGTGTAAAAAATTCGAGAAAAAAATTTTACTCGATTTTTGGATTACGCCAACCTTACTTAGCTTTTTTTAACAGAATGCATTCAGATAGCTCACGTTCACCTAAATTTAGGGTATAAGAGGAAAAGCTTGTAAAAAAATAAAAAAGTCAATTGAGATCGATAGAGGAAACAATATAATCAATAATAGTGAATCGTTTATTGGATAAAAACATTAAGAGAATGATTATATTTTAAACTGACGAGGGAAGGTCCCCAACTGATCAATCGTTTTTGCGTTGAGGCTATGTGCGTTATGTAGATACAAAAGAGTTGTGAATACCCTGAAAAAAGTTCAGGCTGCTAGCTTATTGCTACGGTGANTATGTTGTGAATAATTCTGAAAAAAAAATTTTTTTTTGAAAAAATCCCTGTACCCCCCTTCAGGGATGGTCTGGTCAAAAATCACAATTTTTTCTATAACTCAGCCATTTCTTGACGGATCCTGCTCATCTTCGAACTCGACCGAGACATTGTTAAGACTGAACTGTGTAGAAAATTTCATCGCGATTGGACTCTCCTTTCGAAAGTTATCGTGTTAACGGACGGACGGACGGACGGACGGACGGCCGGACACACTGACCGATTTTAGTAGTGTACTCACTTTTTGAGTACACAAAAATCCACTTCTACTAGAATTTCTCCTTAGAATGAAAAAGTAATATGATCGATATCTCCTTAAACCTGTTAAAGATCTGCTTGAAAAAATAGAAACGGATAAATGATTTATCCCTGATGTGTGTTCGATTAGCTCTGGTCTGAATAATCTGATATAAATGATGCTATTTTTAAAAAAAACGTTTCTGTCTAAAATAGAACAATATCCCGCTTTTCAGGAGATACTGTCCAATCCTTGAACGCTCACCGACAACTACTACATACCTCACAATTACACTCATATACCTATCGAAAAAACATCAATTGAACAATTGAAAGTTTTCTCGACATATTTTAAACAATTATAAAAGTGAGAGTTCGAGAAAATAAATTCAAAATCTGTTTCACTGTATTCCCATGTTTCACGTTTGTTAGTCCCACTGCTGTTATATCAGCATTATATTGCTGATCGAAGAACAATTATCGATATATCGCCATAGAATGGCAGTAAGAAAATAGCCGATCATTTAGCATCAAGCTGCCACTGATTGATCGTGATAGTACCGACAGTTGTCTGCCACTGTTGGCGAATGTCTCTGGTTAACCGCCAGTATAGCGGACATTATATCGAACGACTAATTAGCAAATTGGCAGTGAGTTTTGTGCAGTTTAAACCACATGCATGTGCTGATTAGTTTTTCATTTACTAGACTCAAATTACAATTTTCTCACAACAAAAGTTTTTATTTCGATAACTAAACGATTTATAATACTAAACAATCAATTTATACAACGAGAATATTATCAATTAATATTTATACGTAAGCATTCAATGATTGGCTGCATAGCACTTTTAAATGCATCTTTATATGTTTCTGAAGGTAAAATATATGCAATAAATGTCATCATTGATGGTAAAAATGAAATTAAATAACCAATAAGAAATAACCATGAATAACGTGGTAATTTCATACATCCTGTAATAAATGATATGATTAAGCGTGGTAATGCTAAAAATACCAATGCACATGATGCAATCAGATGATGTTTATTTTGTTTGGCTTGTAATTGTAAATGTTTTCTGAATGATAATGCTGGTTGCGAACTTAAACGAAAACGAGCTATTAAGATGATAATGAACAAAATCGAAATTAAATTAATTGTAAATGGAATAAGAAAATGTACGAGAGTAATAAATGTGTTGAATATATGAATTGAAGAAGAGTATTCAACTAAATACCAAGTTCGTTGTTTATCATTGCCAATATCATCAATTAAACGACGATGTACAGGAATATGAACATGAGTTATAAGTGTTAATAGAATGACACTTAAAGTTATCCATTTAGCTATTTTTTTACTTTTAGATTTATTAAATTTAACACCTATGAAAACAGTAAATATTCGTTCAATAGAGACACATGCATCAAGCCAATCATTTGAAGCTAAAAGAACTTGAAGAATCATATCTAATAGTATACAATTTAAAGTAAGCAATGATCGATTCGTAAGAATAGTCATTTGAGATAAAACTAATTGCCAAAATTTGATGATCAATACACTTACAATGAATATTGAAATCCATGAAGAAACTAATAAATAAAATCCGCAACCCACATCTCTTGTTTTCTTCATGCGAAATGTCGAAATAGATAGAAAAGCACTGATCGATCCAAAAATGAACATTACTGTTGTGAGTACCATACTCATTGTAACAATTAATGGTTGTTGAAAAATTAAAATATTTGGTTTAATATGATAACGAAGAATATAATCAAGTGATAAAACAAAATCTTTTGTTGAAAATTGACATTTCGTTCCATAATAGCAATCTGGACAACTACATACTGATACACTAGGACATGTAGCATTGTCTTGAAAACATTGACCACCATTTTCACAATCACTATAACCTTGACAATCATGAATCTTGGAATGATTGAATACGAAACAATTAGAGAATCGATCCATATCACATATACACATATAGTTTTCATCATAGAAACACATCAATTGTTTATCTTGTCGACACAAAACAGGATAATATGTATTTGATACGATGAAGACGAGAATAGGAACGAAAAGTAGTGTTTAATAGTTCATCTATAAAAGCACATCGTTGATTAGATAATGATTTAGTTTGAATATCTTCTGATTCAATAAATCTTTCTCTTAATACAAGTAAATAATAATTTTTATTGAATAATTCAGCAGTGAGAATATTAAATGGATAAGTGACAAAGAGTGTAATTACAACTTCGTTATATTTGATCTTTTTCAATGTTGTTATATGTTGATGTTTGGAATCTTCAAATGCAGTGATATAATGTACAAATATAGCTGTTGTTCCTTCAAGTATTTTTTCATCTAATTTAATATAAATTCTGTTTTTAGCATTTTCACATCCACTTCCATAAAAGCTTTTTTTACACAGACATGTAAACTTGTTACTAGCAATACAATCATCAATAGACACACAAAGTCCATCATTTTCACATGAATTATTTGATGATTGACAAATTGAATGTTTTAAATAACATTTTGGACCATATTTTTTCAATGGACAAACACAAATAGATGAAGTAAGACAAAATGAATCCGGTGAACAAGAACAAGTTTGTTTGATATCACAATGTAAACCCGAATAACCTTGATCATATTGACAAAAATATGAGACATTTTTATTTATATATCGTATGTATCTTCCATGATTTCCACAAAACAATGGGCAAGATTCTAATTGTTGCATATTGGGAATGAACAATTGAGAAGCTAGTCGATTAACCGGAAGAAACTGAAAAGGAATCGATAGATGCCAACTTGCCCAATATGTTAATGTAATTTTATCGGTGACCGGACAATTCGTTGCAGGACAATTCGTCGCGGACAATTTGTCGCGGACAATTCGTCGCAATGATATAATCCAATTACAACTTATTATTTTTTCATAAATTAGTTGGCATATTAAGAGGAGTTAGAAACACACAATTCATTAAGTATGACAGATGTAGAGACTATTTTTAATGACTAAACTTTGATTTTTGATCCCGAGCAGTACAATAACCGTCTGGCATACATAAAAAGTTAGGTTCTCCGAATTATGTCAGCGGTAAAAGTTTTTTTTATGAAAGCAGAAGTGGTGCTGCATATTTTTTCAATTCTTATTGTAGCTCAGGATTTACGATACATGGAACAATAATTTGAGAAAATAAGTGAAACCTAGTATTCACTAACAAAGCTGGGCTTTAGCATAACCAAAAAAAGCTTTTGATCAAATCTTTTTTATTAAATATCCTTATTTAACGTGCAAACTGTGTTAGTTTAAAAACGATCAGCTCTTATATGACATGTTTAAAATTAACGTTGTTTGAATTCATCGATGATTTATACAGGGGTTACAGGAATTTCGGCCCAAGGAATTTTCGGCCCGGGCTTTTCACCATCATCCTGAGTCTGGGCCGAAAATTCCTTGGGCCGAAATTCCGGGCTCCCTTTATACAGTGCTAACACTATTTTGATGATTTCTCAAGTTTGAGGTTTTTTCATCGCAGCAGTATTAATCGTGGTGGAGAAAGTAGATCTGATTTTTTTTTATCAAACCAGAATTTCTTATGACGATACAAACCGAAAAAAAATTCGAAATTTAGTCGTTAAAAATAGTCTCTACATTCATCATACTTATTGAATTATGTGTTTCTAACTCATTTTAATATGCCAACTAATTTATGAAAAAATAGTAAGTTGTAATTGGATTATATCATTGCGACGAATTGTCCTGCAACGAATTGTCCTCGTACCAATTTTATCAAAAATATCAATATGTATTGAATAATTAGCTGAAGAATTTTTCGGTTGATCAGGATAGAGTAAATAGATATTAAACTTTGTTTTGCAATCACGTTTGGGTACATATGTGATTTGCTCATGATAAGATGTGATTTGTCTTTGTTCATCAATAAGCATAATAATGACTTGAAATACAGACATGCCAAATGTACTAGTACGATATATTAATTGAATTGTTAAACTAATGCGTTGGTTTTCCCATTGACATCGCTCACCAAAATAACTCGGAGGACAAAGACATTTAGTAGTTTTATTGTTTTCGAATAGCATATGAATTCCACGATTACAATACCAATAGTTTTCAAACATTGGTGAATTGACAACCGTTCTTCTGTCAACTTGAGTAGCTTGTCGAACAGTGACATTAATAGAAACTAATGAAAAATAGTTTAATCGAGATGTTCTTAGGAATATTCTTGGTTTTCTTTCGTCCATATATTTTGATACCAACTTGCACAATGGACGTTCATTAATGTCAAATATACCATGTACTTCTATATCATAAGCAGGTGGTATTTTAGTTTGTATTAAACAAACATCTTCCTGTGCCATTGGTAATAACTGTTCATGCGAAGAAGTATGTCCTGCAGTAATACATTTTGTTTCATTCCATGAGAAATAATTCGTAAATTCTTTATGAGTACCATCATTAAGATAAATTTTACGATATATATAAGAACTATTCCAATTTGTATATTGTTCCATTAGATGAGATAGCGGTATACAATAGCCGCTCGCATTGGCGATGATAGACTTACACATGTGTTCATTTAATGAGCATCGTGTTTCAGGAAAATTGAGTTCATCAACACCATTTAGACAATTTCACAGATTATTACATTGAAAGTATTCATTATTACATGGCCACCATTCACAATGAGTTTCATCGGTATCATTAGACATATTTGCCCACTTCAAATCATTGATGCCATCACAAAAAAGTCCAAATGGGATGTTTCCTTTCAATATCTCACGTTGATAATCGTTCCATTCATCTTCACCATTGCGACAATATTGTTTTTCATTTTCGATAGCAATAATAGATAAACATTTATTCCTTTCTGATGGGCAAGTAAAACGCCATGAATCATTGAGTGAACAAGCAGGATACATTTCATCTTCAGCAAAGTAACAATCATTTTCACCATCATTTAGTCGATGTTTTGAAATGCATTTCAACGAACGTGGACAGTGAAATAAAGAGGAATGTGAACATACTTGATCTGCGCCAATTGTCGAACATCGTAGAATGAGATCTTTGAAAATGGTATACAAATGTTCACTTCAATCTTTTAGTGTCTCATTTGTTAGACTACTGGTTCGACAACAATTGAGTCCATTGTTCATTTTAATGTCTTCTGTACAGAATATAAATGCCGGACATCGACTTGCATTAAAACAAATATAATCAGGCATCAAGTTTCTCTTGAAGTCAGCAATTGATCAATTATTAGAGTAAACAAATTGAAAAAAACCGTACAAGATTGGATATTCAGGCCAAACAAACCATTTTAATGAGCAATTATTGATGAGTATTTGACAAAGTTTACGGTTATCTGTCTCTAATATTTGACAACACTGATAAATACGAAGTAAACAGTAGAATACTTGTCGACAATTCAAGTTGGAAATATAATCCAGTGAATTAAACAAAACTGAAGTCATTTGTTCACCTAGACCATTAAAGCACGAATATTTCAAGTGAGGTATCATGTGTTCGTAAATGTCACCATCACCACATGAAAAATTGAAAGGACGTCGACTTTTATATTCTTCACATCGAAATGTTGGACTGGCAACGCATCTATCTTCGGCAAAGGGAAATTCGTAATATATATCCATTTCATCACTACCATCAAGACAATCTGTACCAATCTTTCCATCACGAACAAACGCTGATGGAATGCATTGTCCACCGAAATGACATCGATATTCATTGTCAGAACATGCATTCACTTCTAATATTTGACACGTCTGTTCATCTTCTCCATTTATACAATCAAAATTACCATCACAAATTTCACGTCAATTAAGACACATTGATGATGGACCGCGATAACAACCATTTAAAAATGGATAGCATGTACGGATATTCGAGTCTGTCGCTACAGGTTTGTTAGAGCGTTGTTTTAAAATAAACCGAACAACATTGCTAAATGATGATGGTATACTATTCTCTAATCTGTACTGACACGTAGAACCAAACCAAGGTAATGAGCAATTGTGAAATATTTCATTTGAATTTCTACCATGTTTTTCATACCGCTCTACAACATCAATTGGTGCTAACCAATTAAGTAATTGTGCACTCGTCACATCTCTTTGATACATATCAGCAAAAGTAATATTATTTTCTACATGCGTATACGATGTGACAGATAATTGTTGTTGTTGTTCATCATTTTGATCAAGTCGTCGACAATAAGGAATTAAATTAGAATTAATAGTAAAAAGTGCATTTTGATCAGTAGTATAGTCAAGTATATAAGCGTACAAACAATCGAATGTAGAATTTGATCCCAATCGATCGCTAGAATAATATAAAGAAAAGCCAGTATCAGGTATCATAAATAATACGAGAAATATTAGTAACTGTATTGATGTCATTGTCAACTGAATTATTTCAAATACTAATGATATTTTTAGCGTTGCAAAGATTTCTTCTGAGAAATAATTATTTGTCTTTCTTTTTCTCTTTCGAAAAACTTGGAACAGATGTACTTCTGACATGCAAGCGTAACTTATCAATTCCGGTGTTTCTTCCTGATATTTGCTTGCATAACAAATAATTATGTTAATAAGAGTACAGTTTAGGAAGGTAGGCTTCTCAAGAATATCGATTCAATATCAAATATACGTAACAGATGTGACTTCATTATATATTTTCTCAGTTTGTTAGATAAGTGGGTGTAATAGAGAAAAAAAAATCAAATGTATGTGCATATGGATACATGGTAAAACCAGAAAATGATCCACTAGGTTTATTTTCAACTTTTTTCTATCGCCATAAAGGCTAAAACTTATCGCAAAGGATGTTTGAATAGATGAAAAAAATGTTTTCAAGACGAAACAAAATAAATAAAATTGACCACTGAATTCTTCAAGATACATTCTCGACAAAACCAAAATGTTTATTTTTCAGCATCGATAACTTACAATTAAAACATTGTTTCAAACATATAGAATTAAGAATCAAACAACTCTTTACGAAAATGAAACGTCTCCCTGTACTTCTGTATATTTGAAGGACCTCCGACGTAAAACGTTGTATATAATTGGAATATATTTCGTTTTGTAAACAATTGTTTGTTTTTCAATTCTAAGTTATTACAAGAATATTTTGTTTTCGAGTTGTGAATGCTGAAAAACAAGAATTTGGGTTTTCTAGAGAATATGTCTTTAGAAATCCAGTAGTCATTTTATATTTATTTATTTTTCTTGTTCGAAATAATTGCTGCAATGAAAACTTCTGTTTGGATATGTTTCAAGGTTTATTGCTACAGAATAAAGTTATAAATAGATCTTGTTAATCAATTTTGTGACTTCGAGTTTGAATACTGATTAAATATTGTAATCAGAGAAATGTTTTTTCCTTTCACAATAATAGATAGATTACAAGATATCGAGAAAATGCTACACAGATTTTGTTCGATCAGAGCAGTTCAGTTTCTATAGAAATTTTTACAGTATAATTTGAAAAATTATCTAATTTTTTTACTATCTGTTTCAAGTGAACAAAATTTGAAAACTATTTTGAAAACTTATTCAATGAAAAACACAAATTTAATCTTTTTTATTGCTAAATGTTTGTTCATCACATACATATAATGGATGTTGACCAAAGTTAAACTAGAGGAAATAACTTAATAGGAAGTTTTCACTTTACATAGAATTTTCCACATATAACAATTGATTAGTACATCGATTTGTTTTTGTTAAAGTGTGAATGAAATATCGTGTTTTTTCTGTTCTACCATAACAAAATTTCATCAATTCATTCATCATCGGTAGATATATCAGAAAATGTCTATTTTTTTTGTTATGAGTTCAGTCGAAGGTAATGGACATTGTTTCATCATTATTTTTTCGATCATGTCAATCACGATATATTTTCTTTGTTCAGAAAAATATTTTTGGTAGTGATAAATATAATTAGAAGTTCAACAGATCAATATCAGTTCTAATTTTAACAACTATAGAAAAGTTCTTTTTGGGCTCATTATATATTTAGTAACTAGGAAATAAAGATAGTAAGCAAATACATCTAAAAACTAGTTACAAGAATTTAAGTTCTTTTTGTAATTCTTTATGTAATTCAAACAGTGTCGTTGTTCTTTTTCTTTATCAAACATGTAAATGTGATTTTTTTTAAACTGTTAAAGAGAGAAAACATTATTTGTTTTCTCTTATATGAATCTGAAACAACAAAATTGAAAGCTCGAGTTCCTTTATTTGCATTAGTTGCTTTTTTTCAAGTGTTGTACACTGCTGGTTATAAGTCCCGATCCCTCTTGAACTGCAGTCTTTATAGGAGCTAGACAGTTGAAATTTTGTGTGTATATATTCTATGACGAACGCTGATCGTCAGCACCACTCGCGCCAAAATTGCTCGAGTCAGAACATAGTTATAATAGGTGGTAGTCATGCTTCATGTGAAGTTCATAATTCGAGAAAGGAAAGATCTATTGAGTTGATCAGCATCTCATTGTGTAGTACTCTACTCTAGTTATCTATGGTATAAATTTTATTGAAGTTCATCGAGCCGTTGATGACTTATGACCATTTTTCTATAACCATCGATGTACAAGGAAGCCATGTGATATCATTGTGAGATCCATAATTCAGTAAAAGCTTAACAGATCTATCTGAAATTTTGAGGAGATGTTCTCTCACAGTTGCCCATTACTTTCTGAAAGTTTCGGAAGTAAACATTATACTGAAAGAAAATGGCACACCGATGACCATTACGTTATTGTCAAGGCTTCACGAAGCCTATTTCTCAAGCAAATGTATTTATTTTTCTATTAATGAAAGATCATATCTTGAGCTTCATTTTCATACTAAAATATTGATAATTACACTTGTGTTTGATAAAATAAATCAAAAAGTTTCATAGATACCCTTTTTTTTCATCTTTTCAGCAAAAATAGGAAAATGATGTCATATGACAATATATCAATGATACAGCCTTTTCGGCTCGTTCGAAGCTCGGCAGAACAATAAAATTTATCTGCCTGCGTTAGAAAAACACATCTTCCGCTTATAATTACTGATATTTATAATAATATTCTTCACTAATATGTGCAAATGTACCATAGTCAAATCGATAAGGCTGCTGTTTCAAAAATATAGCATTTTAAAAAGAGTATGGATGCTTGATGTGTGCAACACATGATTTACTATAAAATAGTCGTTTGCAACTTCATAAATAGTTTCAAAGTTTTGGTTTTTAATATTTCTGAAGAGTTCTGAGGTGTTCAGAAAACCTGTATTAGTGATATATTGTCATATGGCATCATTTTCCTATTTTTGCTGAAAAGATGAAAAAGGGTATCTATGAAACTTTTTGATTTATTTTATCAAACACAAGTGTAATTATCAATATTTTAGTATGAAAATGAAGCTCAAGATATGATCTTTCATTAATAGAAAAATAAATACATTTGCTTGAGAAATAGGCTTCGTGAAGCCTTGACAATAACGTAATGGTCATCGGTGTGNGATAAACAAATACAAAGCATTTTAAGATTGCATGGAAACATGTTTAAATCATTAAAATCATGTAATTGCATAGCTGTTGAAAAATCTAATGTTAAATATTTTAAATTTGGACATTTATTAGCTAATTCATGTAAAACATCAGCTGTTATTAATTCCATTGGTAATTCAATATATTGTAATGATGATGAAAAACGATGACCAATTAATACAAGAAATTGATCAAGATTTTTGACGTGTAAACCATGATATTCTGGTCGAAGAAAAACTTGTTTCCATAATCTTGAATTTTGACTTAAAGTACGCCATAAACGACAAACACGAGCACAACGTAATAATTCTACATGTGGTAAATAAGCAAATATTGCTAATAAAAGTTTTTCTGGTAGAGTATTGAAATCACGCTAAATATAAAAAAAGAGATAAAAAGATAGAATGAAATAAAAAATATATTTCTGTTCATTATAATTCGTCTATTTTAATCACTTTTCGTGTTCGTCTCATAACTGATGATTGATATTCCATGATGGTATGTGTAAATATTATATGGTAAATCTATAACACTTTGTATGTATATAAGGAGATAGAGAGGAAAAAACAATGTTAACAAGAATTATTAATACACATCAGTCATATTATCATGGTTGGTGGTCGCTTTTTTTTTGTCATCGCCTATTTGCTTTCGGGTCATTTACAGATATAAATGTATAAGATTTATTCGGATTCATTCATCAATAAAATGTTTTTAATGATAACAAATTACCTGTGTATCACGTGATGGCACACAACTATTTCTCTGCTTAGCAAGTTGAATTGTACTGCTATTCATATCACAGTTGAGTTCGGCTATGTATGACTATGTTGCTTGTTTCTAAAGCTTTTGTTATCATCCGAAGTCTATACAGATGGTATGACTTATGTTGGGTTTTTGTATTATTATGGTTTCCAAACGGTTTTGTTATTCTCTTTATTTTTATTCTTATGTACATAACCCGAACAAATATCGCCTATTAGTACAATGTAAATGAAACTATTCTGTATCAAATTAATCTAATCACAATTAGAATACTAAGGTCATATTGGTTTAGCTATTGTCAATAGGGAAAAAACTACTGATCAAGCAATTCTTTCGTCTAACGAGGCAATAAAAACCTTTCATAATATAAGACAAGTCAAAATATATACAAACGTAAACGCTTATTGGTCTTTTCTTCGTTACTTCTACCGAACAATCAGCAATAACCATCTGTCTAACATACATAAGATATTTGGTAAAGGAAATGAATGGAAATTGCAGCGAGAAATTTGCTCTGACTTCCTGTTTAGGAAATACGAACAAATACTTATAATCAACAATGAAACATCAAAAATAGAATACAACATTTTTCTTTGATATTGTATGTTTATTTTACATCATAATAACAAAAGCAATTTATATCGACATTAACTTTCGATATTGTATATGCATATATATTTCTCAAGAGATTCTAACTATAGATAACATTGATTGAATGATTTCTACTGGCAATCAAGAAGAAAAAATTAGATAAAAACTGTAACAATCTAGGAATATTTCATTTTTATCTAAACCCAAGAGACAATTGGACTAAATTGTTATGATTACTCTCTAGTATTGTAAAAACAAGGATTATAAAGGATGTTCCAAAAGTTCTGAAACGATTTTAATATTTATCATTCTTATATTCAACAAAAAACAAACTCTTTAAAACTTTGATAGATTATTGTACCTACTTAATACTAAATCTACCGCAGTGTTTGAGATCTATCGCTTTCTACTATGGATGAAAACTTGTCACAATATTATCATGAGCTATTAGTTAGTAATGTTCTCGCATTTGATTATCATGTTCATTGATTACTAATATTAATCGTGGTGATATTTTTATATATCATTCGTTGACATAAAGAAACACGAAAATTGTTCTATTTCTTCTTAATGCTATTTTTCATTTTTCCAATATTACTACATTTCCGCAATTATAATTTATTCTTTAATACAACTCAAACGTTTTCTCTTTAAAGAACAAATGCCGACTAGCTTTGTAGCTTAATTTATTGATTCAATTCAATTGATAAAAACATGTTCAGAATCTTGATCATCTTGACAAATGACATTAAAAAAGAATAGAACAAATTTAGTGTTTCTTTATGTAAATGAATGATATTTAAAAAAATATATCAGTACAATTAAAATTAGTAATCGATAAGCATGATAATCAAATACACGAACGTTGATAACTTAATTTAGGTCTCTTTTTATTTCGAAAAATTGTTTTTGTTTTACAAAAAAATATTAATCAAGATGATGAAAAAAATCAAAAAAATAGTTTATGATAGTGTTATTATAGATTCTCATCCATAGCAAAAGCTATAGCCTTCAAACTTTGTAGTTAATTGGTATTAAGCCTGTACAATAAATTGTTAAAGTTTCAAAGAGTTTGTTTTTGTTGAATACGAGAACGATACTTTTTAAAACCGTTTCAGAACTTCTGGAACACTTCTTATATGATGATACCAGATAACAAAAACAAGCAACAATATGTCTTACTCTTAATCGACGTCGGGATCGTTGACTTGCATTGTGTCCATCATCTTGATTTATATCATCATCATTTTCTCCATCAGAAATTTTATGACCCCATGCTTCATGTGCAACAATGGAAAAAGCAGCTGTTGGATTTGACATTGTGAATCGACGAAGATCCATCATAATTTTTTTTCTCTTTTCTCACGTCAAATCAATATCCATCCATCATTTGTTTATATCTGAGCAATATTAATTCATTCTCATAGAGTTAAAGATCATTAGATCGAGGCGGTGCAAGACAAGAAACGGAGACGTAATGCAAGAACAGAAGAAAAAAAAATGCAGACAAGCAAGGCGATTCTCTAGTTTCATCCTCCGTTTTCTTGTTCATGATCGATCACAGACAATTTATAGACAGTGCGACATATCACACACACATAGACACGCATGCTGTTATGATACTTCACCAAATAGAAATGTCGTGTTAATGTATAGAAATCGAGAAACAAATAGATCTCGAGAATAGTATACCATTTATTTATGTTAGAAGAAAAAAAAAAGGCGATCCAAAATCCAATAAAATGTTATCTGCACCATAAAACAAAATAATTATCTCATGGACAAACACCAGATTAACAAAAATTTTGTTAAATACAATATAAATGAAGAAAATACAATCTATGTAGATGCGGGTGTATGACTTTTTGTTCCATGTTTAAGAACATAATGTGATGTTGGTAAAATACGTGCAAGAAAATCGAGTTGATGTGTTTGAAACTAGAGAAGAAAATGAAATTTTTCAACATTTTTCTTTTTTACATAATATAAAAGAAGGACAATACTTACAGCAGGTCGATCAGGCATTGTACGTCGTTGATGATCACTACCAAATATAACTGTATTTTCTGGTAAGATTTCATTTGTTGTTAACGAACATTTAGCACCAATAACACAACCACTTGTCAATGTAACACTACGGCCAACGTGAGCTAAATCAATTTTATTTATTAATAAATAAAATAAAATAAACTTTGTTTTTGCACACCTTTACATTCAAGAATATTATTATCGCCAACTTTAAGAGCTTCGCAACCTAAAAATAAATTAAATAATTTAAAATATAATTCATAATTAAATAACATACATGAACCAACTTCGAAGACATTATTACTTCCTATAATCATAACAACTTGATTCATTTGATCTTTAGCAACTCCACGCGGAAATCTAAAGAGCAAAGAAAAAAAAAGGGAAAATCTTCAAAGAAATGAAAAAATTGTGTCATTTACCGATTAGCTATAACACATTGCTCTTCAATTAGATTTCCATCACCGATAAAAATTGGACCAGCTTCAGCAATGATACTTACACCTGGATGTATAATTGTTTTACTTCCTATAAATATTTTCAAGAATAAATAAATGTTTTTCTTTATTTTGGTCTTTTTTTTTAATTATATACCAATTGAAATTTCGCCAATCAGTTGCAAACGTTCTTCACAAACATATGCACCTGGTGCTATAGTAACTTGATAACTAAAAAGGTATTTCAAATAATTAATAAGATTTCAAATTATTGATCGTTTTATTACCTAGAATTAATGGCTGGACACATTTGTTTTGTGTTAAGTTGATAGTTTATTTAATGAAAAAAAAAACGATCAGTGACTCATCCAATGATTGTATTGGGTCTTTCTCCTCTTCAGTGACATCTTTTCTATTTTGATTGCCGTAGGTTTTGATTTAAATGAATAAACGAGTTTTATTTGTTCGTATAGCATTCTGAGAATAAATGATCTACTTTGTATATATTCAACGAATTATTGTTGTTGTTTCTCTACATTTTAATTGTATAGCGTTACCTGATTTTACTAATGGTATGCCAAAGATGTCTATAGAGACAGCAGTAGTGTTCTGCACGAATATTACTTTTCGCATTCGTGCTCTCCTCTTACACTCAGAATCGAATTGAACTTGGACTGGAAGTAATCGACATTTGACAGATATTTTTGCAGTCATATATTCTTTTCAAATGTTTATTTCATATGACAAAAATACGTATACTGTTGTTTTAATTTTATCAATTAACAACAATAGGAAAAGAATCATCCAAAATTTCGCAAAAGAAGTGATTCAAAATGACTCCAAGGCGACGTTGCTGCTAATCGTGATAATTGTGGATATATATATACATGAATGGTTGTTGCACCATGATAACTGCATTTTNACAATTATCACGATTAGCAGCAACGTCGCCTTGGAGTCATTTTGAATCACTTCTTTTGCGAAATTTTGGATGATTCTTTTCCTATTGTTGTTAATTGATAAAATTAAAACAACAGTATACGTATTTTTGTCATATGAAATAAACATTTGAAAAGAATATATGACTGCAAAAATATCTGTCAAATGTCGATAGACAGATAAATCAATGGTTTCTAGAAAAAAAGAATAACTGCTTAGACAATTGAATATGAAATGTATTTCTCCAAAAGATAATCAGGCTACACTAGTGATGGCGCCAGGGGTGGGCTCAGCTCACCCGAAACTTAATTGAGTCCATCCTGGAAAGGTTTGGGTATCGAAAGTTTGAAGACGTTTTTTTTTGTTTCGTAAAAACCCAGGATGGCTGAGCCCATCCTGACGAAAAGTTCTGGCGCCGCTACTAGGCTGCACTACAATCAGAGCATCGTTTTTTCACACTGTAAATCGAGAAAATGACGTATCGATCAATCAGATGATCGAAATCGGAAAGAAACTATCGAGTATCCATTCTAAAATTCATTACTAAGAGAAATTCTACTAAAGAATATCAACACGGTTTTAAAAAATACTTTTGATTGACCGCTGGATTCTCTTTCTGATTCATTATCTATAAACAGCTATTTTAGCCATAAGCAAAGAGAGTGTCAGCTAACTTTTGTTGCTATCTTTGTTTTATATACCTCGGAGCTTACACAAAACAGAGCCTACAAAAATTTGCTTGTTTTGGGTGACTTTCTATGAAGAAAAACGGAATGTCATATGCAAGATAAAAGAATGGACGGCATGAATTCGATCATAAGATTTCATCTCCAAATTTAGATGAATAATTTCTGACTTTCGCTTCGTGAGATAATTGTGATAGATTGTGACAACTTTTGATGCCTACATCGTACATTAACTAATATTATTTATCATCTTAATTAATAAAATATCATTAAGACTTCGTCAGGCTGAGTTTTCTATTACATGAATTACAATGAATGAGTCTAATGAAGAACTACATCTGAGCCATATTTTCAGGGAGATAACACTCCAATGCGTTTATTTTTCTCTTTTTATATCTTAATTAAATATTTGTGATTTAGCTGCTGATGAGTCATTAAATAGATACTTGATGACGATGAATTGAAACTAGTCATATCAATGTATGATTAATAACAAGTAAAAATTGTTGTACGAGTGATTAATGAAAATCAAACAATGACTAAAAAATATATAATGATGAATATTGGGTTCGTGTGGAAGATGTTTATTGGAAAGAAAATAAATGTTTGTATCATATTGTCATAGCATGCTAACAAATATTTTTTGTCTACTTGTTTTGTTGGTCAAAGACAAATGGTTGCTTTTGATCATGTTAATTGTTGCAAAATGTTGATAACACAAACAACAATCGTCTATTTTAATGTGGTGCACTTGTACAAAAGATTGTTTGAGCTTTTATTTTAAGACAATTATTGTACCGAGTGAACCAGTGACCGCTTGGGAATCAATATGGCAATAAGGTAGATCGGAAAATAAAGATCCAAAAAATATCTTGGAAGATCTATGACTACAAGAGCGAAGAATGGAAAAAATAATATTAATAAGAATACACATGAACATATGAAATTGTACAGTATTCAAAAAAACTATTGAGTGAATAGAAATTACGTAGAGTAGTGACAAGTATGACTAGAATGTTTTTGTCGGCAACAACATCTTCAAGAAATCTCGATACCTAATATTTTTCTTAAATGCTTAATTTGAGAAGTTTATTAGCTGTAGATAGCATCTCAAAGGTAGTATTTGAGAAGCTTCTATTGTTAGTTATTCAAAATGACTTAAAACGAAATTTATTTGAAGAAGCAATTAACAAGTTTTGAAAAAACGTGATTCTTTTTTTTTTCGACATGAACCTAGAAATTGATTAAATTACTTTAATTATATGTCACGTTAATTTTTGCTTCATTTCATAGTCGATCTGCAGATATGCTTCAAAGCTTGACTTAGTGGGTATGGGTGTCGGTGTGAAGAAAGTCTTGGACTGCACCCACATCCATCCCAAGTAATTACATAAAATATTTCTTGTTTATTTAGGACTGTTAAAATCTGATTTACTGACACTATGATATATGAGAAGAGCACTTTAGTGATCCGAGAGTGCCTCTCATTACATTTGTACTGCCTTGCACAAGTTGTAGAGCTCCTTCAGTTGTGGCATTTTTGTGCGGCGTAGTGATCTAAAAGTTTGTGTTGTAATGTTTCCACTGCCATCTATCAATTGAAATGTCCCTACCGTTGTTGCATTCCTGTTGCTTTTCACTAGTCTGAAAGTCTCTGATGTCATTGTATCAATAGTACTGCTAAACGTCCTCAGACTTCCACTTGTCGATCTTCCCAATGACACTAAACTGGAGTATAATGAAGCTGCAGCTAATAAGCCTAATTACAGAAAGTAAGCCTAAGAAGGAGACTGAAACAGAAATTAATGGAATGGAATTTGACGACTCAAGGGGTATCGAACTACTGAAACCAATGATACAGGAACTAATAAAGTGAGAAACACTAAATTGGAAGATGCTCCAATGCTTGAATTATGAATTAGTGTCCACATACGTCTAGAAACACCAGCAAGAAATGTTCCACTCTTTTAGCTGTTCGCCTAATGACAGCAAGCACGCGTTGACTTTACTCACTGATCCATTGACCAGTGCGACAATAAATAGCCAATGATTCACAATTAGTTTAAATTATATCATAACCAATAGCGTTTGCCCTATTCAACATTCTTCTAGCATGTTCAACAGTTTGAGCTCGTTGCTCTTCATTATCGTCTTCGTAGTCAACTACATATAGGGGTCGTACTGTAATACCAACTTGATCTAGACCATCGGCAATAGAGGCATCCAACGTTGTAGTTTGTATACGAGCCATTGTTTTGTCTAAGCCTCAAAAATAAACAATTACCATTTCTCCAATGGATTCGATCACGATACCATGATGATATGATCCTTGATTTTCTCCTGTAGCAATATGCGCACCTGAATAGAGCAATGTATGAGGATCGCCACGACCACAGACAATAGGCCGACTGTTTCTTGGACGAAGATCAATGTTAATTAGGTTGATAACGGGAACATTGTCGTCGTATTCCATCTGAAACATGAGCAAGAGTTTTGTATGATAGAGAATGCTACACAGATGTGAGTGTGCATGTGAGCCATGAAAAGAATTATAGACCCAATATCTATACGTCACACTCAATTCGAAGCTAAAGTATGTGTTAAATGTCATTCTACTTACCTTTATATAGTGAAATTTGAGCGCAGGCTGCCATTGAAACTATGGTTAGCCTTTTATTCCTAGTATTTACAGCGATGCAAAGCTGTATAACTTGAGAAAATACAACCAATTTTGATTTTCAATGTAAGAGCTTCGTAGAGAAAAAAGATTCTCTACAAATCTGCATCTGCCTAAAAAATTCCATACCTTCATCGATACGCAAATGAGTCTAATAAAAGGAGTTTTATGTGTACCTACTATACATGTTGAACATATAGAAGTGAACCAACTGAGTTTGTCAGCATGAAATATTTATTTGAACAGATTATCTGATTCAACTTTTTGTACTGTTTGTAATGATAGTTGGAGCATTGAAATAGGCTGAATCTTATAGAAAAAAAAACGTCTTTCACGGCTTCTTGTCTGACATTTACGACATAGGTCCCGAAACCGCCTTTTTTACCTACTATCGGAGGAATCTATGATAAAACGTAGTCATCATATAAAGCACAATTTTCTCCTTTGAATGCTATGTCCTGAAGAAAATTTTGTCTTAGAATAAGCGTGCAGGGGTTTGCAAAAATAACTTGTGGGATAATTTTAGAAGGATGCAAAATGCCATACTACGATTGCACCGTCAATAAAATCTCCATAGATGGATGGATCGAACTGAAATTTTCTATGAAAATATTAGAGATCATGACCTATGATATGACGAAAATCGAACCATTCTAGGTAATCTATCTTTTGAAATGTAAATAAAAACAAAAAACTTCTGCTTGCTGGTTAGATAACTTTGCTAACCACTATATATATACTAGGTTGAGAGGAAGAAGAGAAAAGTAAACAGAGCGAGATTAAACCTGATAGAAAAAGCAAAAAAAAAATCTTTTTCAAATAGTTAAATCATAGTTTGCCTACTTCATGCCTTTATTTTGTAGCACTGTCTTTTTGTCATTATTTACAGTAAAAAAAAAACTTGTGTCAGAATATGATTCATGTAATTAAAAGTTTTATTTCTTTTACTGCATTAGCAAATATAAGCCGTGAATGTTAGAAAGTTTAAAATGACAATAAATCGTTGTTTTCTCCCACTATATGTAACAAAAATCTTGCCAATGTATACTCTCAAGAAATTGGTTTATTATTCTGAGTCTTAAAAGTTTCGTATTTGGGTACGGAACTCTTTTAGATTTTGTAGAATGAAAATCGTTTCACACTTTTCGTGGCAAACCATTTAAGGTTCAAAGAAACTCGACAGATTTAGTATTTTTCATACTAAATCATTTCTAGGTTCAGAAAAATATTTCACACGAAATCCTCGTGGCGCTCTTGAATAAAGTTGTTTTATTTCTTACCTACCGAACTCCGCATGGCCTGGGAGAAAATAGAGTGATTCTGTATGATTTGTAAAGAATCTCCGATAGTTCCGCCTGATTAGGGATATGAGAGTGTGAGTGTATTTGAATAAGATACTCACATGCACCCTTACACCCACACCCTCTATATTTTAAAATTCATGACACAATACATTGATATAAGAAATCAAAATTCTGTCAAATAAGCGAGCTATAGTGAGCTAATATTGAACGCAATAAATCAGTATCAAAAGAGCATTTTAACGATAAGATTTCGTTTACACGACGTGATTACGAAACCCTATCCAGTTTAAATGTGTTTTTTCAAGGATCTTGCCTGCTTGAATAGTAAAATAAAACCATAAGCAACAAAATTTAGAGAACCAGACGATGATCCAGTTGAAGAAGTTATCAATAACAAAATCAACTTTTATATCTAAAGTTTGATAAATATGCATCATGACTAATTTATTTAGGTTTATTTCTGATATTATTGTCGCGTGAACTTGTTTTTTTTTCGAAAAAAGTATGCTTTTCAAGATACATTCCCATATAATTCTTTTTTTCAGCAAAATGAAATAATTACTATTTTTCAAGTTCAGCATGACTAATTAGTAACTACTACTGGAGTATAAGTTGGAAAAATCCTAAGATGCATCTATTTGGAGTCGATTCAATCCCGATTAGATCACATCGAGGTGGTGCAATCTCAATTATTGATCGATCTCTCCATATGTACTCGACTAGATGTTAATCAAGAGATAATTTAGAAAAAAAAATTTATGAAAATACATAAGTTCAGTATGTTTCTTCGCTTTGATTATAGGTTGCTGTACGTGCAAAATCAAACGATCAATGAACGATGAGCCCATAGATCACGTCACATCTAAAAATACGAGACATTTTATTTTAATGCGTTGATTGAGCACACTACAAAAATTCAAAGTTATCTCTGATGGAAAATATTTCATATGGCATCGTTTTTTTATTGAAATGAAGGTCATTGCAGAAATCGATCTGATTTGTATCACTTAGATGCTATCTTACGGTGCTCGTTACGACCAAGAATAGATGATGGTATATTGTCGTATGTACGCCATATTCTGACCATATATGGCGACAATCTAAATATTTTCAAAGTTAAGACAGCTTATGGAAAATCTCTCTTTACAATACGACAAGTTTTTAAATGCTTTTGTCACAGGAAAAGAAGCAAATGCCCTAGAGAATTGATTCTTGAACTTTCGTTCAATTTTAACGATCTTTTCAATATGATGTTAATTATGCTGTGTCTATAGATTCTCGCACCATCAAATGCTTGTGAATTAACGATCGTAGAGAAACGAAATGCATGTAATAAAATGAACAGTTTTGAATTTATTTTAATGTATTTTTATTGATTAAAACTCGTCAACACGATAGAAGAATACAGACAAACAGTGGCAAAAAGTTCTCGACGAAATGTAATCATATCGAAAGAAAGAAACGAAAAAAGAAAAATGTGAGCTTTACTTTTTTTAGCAGTTTTTTTGTTAACATATTCTCTCTGCACATCGTTACTAACTATACAGACACGAATGAGAAAAGAAAAAAAACACCGACGGCAACAATAATAAAAATGTCTTTATGCGTGTGTGCTTTTTATTTCGTTCGTTTCTTCGTTGTTAATGTACTTGTTCTTTTTTTTTATCTCTCTTGTTTTTCATAGTTGCATTTTCAAAAGAAGCTCGAAAGAATCATGCAATCAACTTTAAGGCCAATGTCTTTCTTTAGCGGGGAGAAAACTTTTGTGTTTGTACAAAGATATGTGGCATGCACCACAATAATTCTACTTTATTCTTACTTTTGAATTAAGAAAGAAAGATTCTTATCTTCAATATTTCTGCTAATTTTAGGGTGTGATTGTAAAGAGAACTGGTACCGTAGCCAAAATCTGCTCCCACATTTGTTTGAGAAATTCTTGAGAACGAAAATTGAAACTATTTTTCTTCTTGTTTTGCGCAGATTATTACAATATCTACAATCAAAGGCAAATATTTAAATGAATTTAGTTTGTTTCAATTTTTTCTTGCATTTCTTGTTTTCATGAAAAGATCATTTTCAGTATGAAGAATCTTTATCGATAGACAGAGCCTCCTCTTGTTATAATGCATCATGTAGGTGGTGTTTCATACTATCTATATCACTATTTCAACAAAGTCCATATCCTGTATAAGAATAAGAAAAACAATTGAAGAAATAAATGTAAGACAAAATTGAAAAAACTTAATTCGTTTAAATTTTGGTCGTTGACCATATTATAATAATAAAAAAAGGTTTGAACTGACGAGGTCTTTGTTTTTTTTTTCGTTTTCTTGTTGAAGAGAAAAATAAAAAGAAGCAAGATATTCAACCACATTGACGCTCAAGTGATTGCTTAGATAAAAAGCAAACAAAAGTTGAAAAGAAGAACCATAAAAATAAATGATGCTGTTGGGTTTTTTTTCTTTCATTTCTTCTTGACAACCATATTTTCACGTGCAACTAGGTGGAGTTTGTCCTTGAGTATCAGCAGAAAAAAACAGTCAACATTGAATATATAAATCGACAACAGTGGTCTCTGTCGAACCAGCAATCTACTATTCATCATAGTGAATTATTAATCTACGACAAAAAGCGACTTTCATAATGAGTCGACAACGAAGACAACGCATGACTGAGAATTACTTAATCATCTGGGCCGATGGAAACATTGATTTAGCAAATGAAGATTGCCAACATATACTTGAGCAATTGCGCGGTGTCGTCAACGATGTTGATACTTGCACTACGGCTGAAGAGTGTATTCAAAGTCTTCAAGCAAACAAGGAGAAGACCTCATTTGTTATCTGCTCGGGTGCACTTGGACAACGTCTTGTGCCTGACATGCATGAATTCCCAAAATTAGAATCCATTTATATTTTTTGTGGTAACAAACAACGGCATGAAATTTGGACTAAAAATTGGGCAAAGATTAAGGGTGTACACACATCGATAAAGTTCATATGTGAAAAATTGAAAATAGCTGTCAATCAATGCAATCAAGACAATATAATGGTTAGTATTATCAGTGTCAGTGAAGCGAGTTCTAGTGAAAATCTCAATCAACTAGAATCCAGCTTGATGTATACTCAAATATTCAAGGAAATACTCCTTGACATGATACATGATAAAGAAGCCATGAAATATTTCATCAAATTGTGTCAAGAACAAGACCAGAACAATACGAAAGAACTCAAATTTATTGATGAACTTCAACGCAACTATAAGCCAACATTGGCTATTTCGTGGTATTCAAGGCAATGTTTTCCATATAAAATGCTCAATCAAGCATTAAGAATATTGAACACCGACATTATCACTCGGATAGACTTCTTCCTGTGTGATGTACACCGACAAATTGAATATTTACATGAAAAACAGGTCAGTCAATACCAAGAAAAGATCTTTACAGTCTTTCAAGGTCAAGGATTACCAACAGCAGATCTAGAAAAATTC